TACACTGCAGGAGTTGGCCGAAAATGAGGAAGAGTTTCTTGTAACTGGTTGGGGAGAAACGGAAACTGCATACTTCTCTGATGTTATGTTAGAGACTCACATCACTCAAAAGCCTCGCAAAGATTGCCGAAACACTACATCATCCCAGTTGTGCGCTGGTGGCCCTGGCAAAGACTCTTGCAAAGGTGATTCTGGCGGACCCTTATTTTTGTTGTCTGACCTGTATAAAAATGTTCAAAAATTTGTGCAATTTGGAATAGTAAGCAATGGTGCCACACAATGCGCCAATGGCGAGCCCGCCGTTTATACAAATGTTGCCAGCTATATTCACTGGATTGCCGATCATATTGTCCAAAAGAAGTAGCATGTAGCTTTCTATACATACATATGTATGTATGTAGCTTTCTATACATACATATGTATGTATTGAACTATACATACATGCATACATATGTATATGGTAATCAAAATATAGAGACATATAGTTGAAATGAACATCGTCATTTTAAGTTTCGGCATTAACCTTATCTTCCATAAGCAGATTAAACTTATTAGAGCACAATAACACAATAAGAGTGATGATTATATTACAACAGCATTAATATTCCTACAGTTTGTTATAGTTACTTATGGCATATCACTTTGCAAAGATAGTGATTCTTCGGTATGTACAAATGTTGCCAGCTATATTCACTGGATCGCCGATATTATTGTACCAAATATATGTGACCAAGATATACATATATGTTAAATGAGCAATTAGCTCTAAATTTAAATATTTTTTCATCCAATAATATTTAAAAAATTATAAAATGTGCGCCGATAGGAAAGACAAAGCTGTAGCTATTATCGGATAATTGTGAATGCTTTTAACAATTAAAATATATTGTCAAGCCTTAAAGTTGTAAGGAAATGTTAATCGGTATCGGCAAAAAAAATACCAAGAGTAACACTGCAGTGTGCAGCTGACTAAACGGGTATCGAGTATGAAATACGAGCATCGAGTACAAGTGCAACTGCTGTCGGAGTCGGTTGTGTCTGCGTTAATGTGTTAGTTTTTTGTTGGTGTTTTTGTCTTTAAAAGTGTTTTTGTTCCAACTATTTCGCATTAAAATAAGTGTGCCAAATTGATCAGTAAATATTGGGAAAAATCAAACGCACAGAATAAAATGTGCGGTGCTTTTCGAAGAATTGGAAAAATCGCGAACGCAATAGTCGGAGAAAAATAATGAATGATATGATTCAATGACGTCGCGAAACCAATCCGTGATTCGTCAAAGCAAAAGAGAAAGAAGAGAAGGGAAAAGTCACAGTGAGCAGCCGACTGTGAATATTTATGCGGGCTGTGCTGCTGTTGACATTACAAATCAAATAAAAACTTAATATATGTATACAAAAAGCCACAAAGAATCACAACAAAAATCCGTAGATTAAATTGTATAAAATATGTGTTAGAAGTAGCAAAATTGAGAAAAATCTTCAGATGGGTTCACGTATTAAGTAAGTATTGTGTTCGCTCTCAGAGAATTACATCTGGAAAAATAAAATGTGCAGTGGGCGTAATGCTTGGATGACTGAACGCAGCCACTTCAGTGAAATTAGTTCATTATCTCTTATACTATTATTGATACATACCAAACAATTATTGTCAATTTGGCAGAAGCGACGTAAAGAAACTCTTTGAGTTTTGGTGCGAAGTAAAGCCCACACGCGGCATCGATCGTGGCAGTGTTAATCGTGGAGGTGGAGGAGCAGCCGCAACGCCCGCTGGTGTCATTATTGAAAGCTTCCCGGAGGGCTTTCGCGATAAGGAGGTGCTTAACGGCATCCCATCATTTGCGTTTCCCTGCGATCTCATAAGGTGCGTGTGTAACTGATAATTTGTAGCACATTAATGTGCAATAATATGTAGAATAAAGAACAATGATGTTCTGACTGATATTTGCTGTCTGAATGGATGAATGACCACAGACAGTGATGCTCGCTTTTTGCAGAACTACTTTTGGTGGGACGAAAGTCTATGCGATTCTTGTTATACAATGTACATACATATGTATGTATATGAATGTTTCATTAAAAGCAGATTGAGTTAATTGTATTAGATGAAAGAGTTCTGCAACAGTTCAAAAGTTTTGATCAATTTAGAGTATATATAAATATACTTAGACATACTATATACATATGTATGTATGTTTATAGATAGGGATTGAACAAATTTGTTAAATGAATAGTTAGCAGATCTTCCAATAGCCAAAATCTTACTGAAATCGAACCATAAAAACCCCCATTTGACCATAAAAAAATGATGTTGGCTGCACTAGGTGGCATGATGAGTCATGACAGCGATAGCAGCAGCAGCAGCAGCGTCCACTTCAAGTTTGTCCATGAATTGTATAACCTGTTGTATAGTTTTTCTGTCGGTTTGTTTACTTACATATGCGCGCCAGTTTGTATGGTGTATTGATGAATTATTTCATTCGGATTACGTTGAACGCAGTTCGTTTTCGCACATTACGCTTGTTGTTTTTATAGCAAGTATTTCCTCGCTATATCAGCTATATTGTATCTACAGATATGTGTATGTGTATGCGTCAATTGTCTTTTCGTTAGTCACGCTGAAAACATTTCTGGTTTCATATTTGCAGCTGCCTTAAGAATGGGCAACAAGTTGTCTTTACTGTTGTCTGTTGTCTTTACTGCTCGCCCAGCCTTTTGCTTACTATTATTATCGCACGGTAATATATACACACTGATAAATACAATTTGGGATAGCGCGCCAAACGCTAGACCTATGATTTTTTGTTTGCTGAAATGGCTTTAAAGTAAAATTAATAATAATTATAGACATTAGCACAAAGCAAAGATCTCCAAAAAAAAAAAAAAAAAAAAAAAAAAAAAAAAACCAAACAGAAAACGGCACATTCATATATATGTACATACGCTAAACACAGTTAGGGCACGTATGTACATATGTATGTATGTACATGAAGCCAACAACAACAGCAATTACAGCCTCCAGCAGTCTCTTAATTCATTAAATTTCGTTTTCTCTCCCGGTCACTCTCTCTGTCTCTTTTCGGCTGACTATCGTTATTGTAATTAACAGTTATCACCAAAGTCAATGCACCGACATGTACAGCTTGAGTGGAAGCGAGATAGATGCTAGTTTCGTTGTCATTTTTGCAGTTGCGATTTTGTCGCTTGCGCCTGTTTAGCATATTTTATTAAATAATGCTCGCATCTAACGATTTCACGTAATCCAACGCCTTCAATAAAAACCAACAGCACGAAATCGGCTGTGAAATGTGAAAGAGCTGAAAAGCAAAAAAACTGGAGGCCAAGCGGCGTCGCATTGAAAACGGAGCTTACTGCGAATAACTGTTGTCGTGCTTTTATTCACATACATACACATACTCACATATGTACTTATATGTATGTATGTAAGTATGTGTTGCAAGTTCATAATCGTCAATGTACACAAAATGTCACACAACGAGACAAAGGCAAAGAGCAACAAAAGGAAACGCCACTTAACACAATCCTATATTAACTCAAAATATTTACAAAGATATATTACAGACACTATTCTAATACATATGAAACGCATAATGTTTCTTTTTTTGTGCCTTTTTAAAAGCTGTTATATTTTCCAAAGGCTTTTAATTTGGGTTAAGAGGCAACGCTAAATAAGAAGTGGTCGCAGACACGATCCAGCCAGGCATTAGTCATTCGAAAAGCTCCACTTAGCAGTGTATGTATAGGTGCGATGAAGCGTTTCTGGAGAAACGACGACTACTGTTGCTTGTTGCTGTCAAGGTCACTTGAGTTGATGGCATAGCCGAACGGATATGCCATAATAAGCATGTTATACGTACGACCGAATCTTATAATGTAGAAAATAAGTATGAATATTTGAAGAGAACAGAGTGATCGAGGGAGATGTGCTTTTATAATACATATAATACATATGGGCTTCACTTTTTGCTCATTTAAATTTCGATTATATAACTATTCCATGTATATAAACATTCAACTCACAATCATAATCAATTTCT